AATCGTGAAAATATGTAACCGTCCGACCATGTTGTGTTTTGTTCAATTCTTAATTCATCTCAACAAAAACTTTTGTCCCAATTAATTGGGTTGCCTACATGGGTTCATTTTTTGAGCAAGTTATCCAATGGTGACTTTTGGGTACCAAATTTGAATACCACTTGTTGTGTCACCAACCTATTGGTTTAATGAGTCCCACCATTCTTTGGTGACATATTAGATAATATCCAAATTGTTACCTGAACTTGGTCTCCGTCTTTCTTTCTCTTCATCTTTTGTATATTGTTCTTTGTTAGTTTTATTTCTTGCCAAATTCCTGTTTGACAAAACTCCTTGAGCTTGTAGAATTTTATTCGCACTTTTTATTCAGTGAGGCTATGAGTGTTAGATGCGAATCCAAACCCGAATTGTGCTTTTTCAAAGAAGTTGTGATGATAAAAGCGTAATGCTTTCAAGATTGCCACTTCGCTGATTATGATGGGGATCGAGCTGTCCGGGCAGCGCCCCCGAAGCAAAATGCAAAAATGCATTCAAAATTGCCTGTCCGCTCGAGCGGACATACCCGCGCTCGAGCGGAGAATCCCCGGTTCCAGCAGTTTTGGTCGCCTGCAAAAGAACTGAGATGTGTGATTTCGCGCTCGAGCGGGCTTTCTGGCGCTCGAGCGGACCTCTGTTATATGATGCGCATATTTTGCTGACGACGCTCGAGCGGGCTGTTTGGCGCTCGAGCGGAGATCACGGGACAGATTCTATAAATTCGCGTGTTGGATCAGATTTTAGGATTACTACTCCAGATCTTCTTTTTGGTTTCTAGGGTTTATATCTGGGGATACTTTGTGAGTTTTCTTTGATGTTTTATTGAGTATTCAACTCATGGTTTAAAAGAGAGTACATCAAAGGTTTTTGTTTGCTATACAAAAGAGAGAGTTGTTCTTCGGTGGATTCTGAAGAATTCGAGCCTGAAGCTTTGGTGGATTTCGGGGTGGCTCATTGTAAAGACAATTCCGAGGTGAAGATGGGGTTGGAAGAGGCACATAGAGGTTGGTTCAATTAGGCAATGTGGATTCGCTAGGTAATTGAGAGTATACCTGTGTAATTCCTTTAAATCTTCTTAGTGGATTGTTCTTGTGGCTGTTGCCTGTGGTTTTTGATCACAGTTGGAGGTGTCCAATTGTGGTTTTTTCCACGTAAAATCGTTGTGTCTCTTTGTCTTGATTGTTTGATTGGGATTGTTATATTCTGCTTAAAATTGATACATAATCACAAATCAACATCTAGGGGATTTCTAGATTTTTCAGTTCTCCATCCTTACAACTTAAGATAGAGAGCATTGTAAGCCTTCAATTTAATTTTAACCTCCTTAACTGCTTTAGATTTTCCTTTACCCGTCACTTGGGGGAGTTGCTGGCATTTTAGTTGCATCTGTGATAGTAAAGTTAATCCACAGGTAAAGAAGTGCGTCACAGGATTGAAATGTGATGACATGTGTAATCATTGAATGTTTATCTTCAATGGGACTTTAATGTGTTACGAGTTTGGTGAGTTATTTTACTTCCATAGTATCTAATAGCTTTAGTGCAGGTGCAACTAATTGAGCCTGCTGTGAAGGGTACTCTTAATGTACTCAAGGCATGTTTTGAAGCACATGTCAAACGAGTGGTGGTTGTATCTTCTGGAGCTGCTGTTTCCGTGAACCCTGAATGGCCCAAGGGTCAAGTGAAGGACGAGACTTGTTGGTCTGATGCGGAATACTGCAGAAGAACTAATGTAATCAATTAAACAAGCCAACTTTAAACTTGTAATGATTATGTTGCGATTGTAGTGCATTTCTGCTTGATATTATTCAAAGCTTTTTAAAATTGTAGGTTCCATGCTAATGTTTTCTATATTTATATTGATTTTCTGGTTCTTTGCCCTAGAATTGGTATTGTCTTTCCAAAACAAAAGCAGAAAGTGAGGCTTTTGAGTATGCGAAAAGAAGTGGGCTTGATGTTGTAAGAGTGTGTCCAACCCATGTTTTGGGACCAATGCTCCAGTCCACAGCAAATGCTGGTAGTTTGGTTCTCATTAAGCTTTCAAAAGGTACCTAATTGAATAAAACCTATATCATTTTATTTTCTCAGGTAGAAGTAGCATTTTTTATCCATGTAAATCTTGTTTCCTTTTATTCTAAATGATGTGCTCATATGTGTTCCTATGCATGTTTATATGCTGCGGTGGAATGTTAACTTTTGAACTTTAATGCTTGAGAAGTTACTTTTGGTATTACATTCCATATGGGAAGCATTTTTGCTCTGCTTTATCCTTCTTGTTATGCATTAAGCCTACAATCTAGGACTCCAATTTGTATTAAAAGGATAAATGTATATATATATAATGCCTGTGTTTTGGTGATGTTAAGCCTTGAGGAATGGTGATGCTTGTTTTTCCAATCATTCTCATTATGATTGAACTTCTAGAAGGTGAGGCCAATTGAGCTCCAAAGTTCAGTCTTGCAATGCTTTGATTGAACCCTTTCAAAAGCACTGAAGTCACCCTACAGAATTTAATTATGCTTTCCTATTAAAGTCATTACATAAGGATGAAATGGCCATATATGGAAGTATATGTGATGTAGGACGAGTATGGATTACTTTCCTACAAGCAGTGAGTCCGGGTTAAGTATACTGGTAGCCGCAACAATAGACTTATAGGGCTAGATTTGGTAGGAGTTTGTGGTTGCAAAAGTATTTAATAAAATAGGAGTTTAAGGGTTTGTAAAAATGTAGGGTTTTGTGAATGAAAATACAAGTGTTTATGGATTGTTGGCTGGCTGTTCTAAGTACTCTGAACAGTGATGTGAACAGTAATCTTGTTGGATAGAAGGGAAGAGAAAGAGAGAGAGAGGTGCTTCACTCTCACAAGGGATAGGCCAATCACACAATCACAATCTCAAATTTTCATAATATTAACTCTTTTTCCTCAATCATTAAGATTACACATATATTTATAGGCTAAAGACTCTTCTAATTCTATAAGGACTATAACTCAAATTTAGAAATCAAAAATATTTAGCAACTACATATTCTAGACCAACTATGACTTCCAATTCTACTTCAATCATAATAGAAAACTTTAATGACTTTTAATTTTACTTCAATATCAAAATAGTAAACTTGGACTTTTGACCATTAGAATTATTTTAGACATAATAAAACTAGGGGTGAGCAGCGGATATACTGATCCATCCAAACCGACCGAACTGAACCGAATAAATCCGCCGCATTTTGAACGGATGCGTGATGACGAGCGGATAGTTGCAGATTGATTTTTTCAATCTGCCTAATTTTGGACAGATGACGGATTTGATGTTCCATTGGCCGCAACCGAACCGCCAAACCACCAGCACCTCTACTAATTTATAAGACTCTGTTTTCAATTTGTTTAAATATTTTGTTTGTGTTTTCAATTGAAAATGAGTTTAAATATTCTGTTGAATATAGTCTGTTGAAAAAGAGTTTTCAACTTGAATATATTTTTTGAATTGAAAAAAATAAATGTATTATTTATCTATATTTTTTGGTTTTTAAATCTAAATTTGAAAATAATAAATAAAAAAGATGATATATACTGGTTGATTTTAATTTTTAAAAACAGATATAGATGTAACAATACAGAGACATACAATCTCTACCATTACTCTATTCATGGTTTTGGTGGTTTGAATTGTTTTTATATTTTAGGAATCACAGATTGTAATACTTTATGTTGATAAGGTATGTTGTGATTGTAATATGTGGATGAGGTATGCAGTGATTTTAATAACTTTTTAAGTCATTGACGTAATATTTCTTTTTTTTTTTTTAGGAAGTGCACAAGTTGAATTATGTTGAAAATTTATAAAATTTTAAACCGCCAAATTGATTCGCATCTATCTGCCAATCCGCTCAATTCACATCTGCCGGATTAGCGGACCGATGCGGATTGATTTTCTCCAATCTGCCAATTTGATGGACAGATGATGAATTAGAAGTTCTATGGCCACAACCGACCCGTGCCCATCCCTAAATAAAACCCATATATAATAACCCATTTAATAACTTGATCCAAAATAAAATCTATGGGTGACCCCTACAACCTATGCCCAACAATTATTAGAATTATTATTATACCCTTAATCACTAAAACTTACTATAATGACATGAAGATTTGAAATTATTCCAAATATTTAGGCTCCGTTTGGTAGGGCTTTGTAACTATGATTTGAGAATATGAGTTGTATTTTGAGTTTGTGTGTTTTAGAATTATGATTTGAGTGTTGAAAATTTGTTTGGTTATTGTTTTTGAATAAAGTGTTGAATTGAGTGTGAAATTGAGTTTTGAATTGAGTGTAGATTTGAGTTTTGAAAGTTTGATTTGACATGTGAAGTAAGAAAATTTGTTTGGTTATGAGTTTTGAAAAGAGTTTTCAAAACTTAATTCAAATTGCTATAACTCATAACAAAACACATTACTTTCACATTATTGAAAATTTTGATCAACACTCATAACCAAACTCTTTTTAAAATTCAATTAAAAAAATTTATTATTAACAAAAAATAACATTAATCAATTTTTTAATTGAAAATACTACAAAGGAAATAATTTTTTTTCAAAATAAATATTCAAAAAATTTAAATCATAAATATTTAAATAATTTAAATAATCTAAAAAATTTAATAAGTAAAAAATTAAAATAAATATTCAAAAATTTTAAATCGTAAAAATTTAAATAATTTAAATATTCAAAAAATTAAAATAATTTAAAATTTTAATATTTTAAATTTAAAAACAACTCTACACTCAAATCGTAACCAAACACATAAAACAAAACTCAATTAAAAAATTATTTTTAAAACTCATAACCAAACAAATTTTCTTACTTCACATGTCAAATCAAACTTTCAAAACTCAATTCAACACTCAATTCCACACTCAATTCA